TTGGACACAGTCTGTAATATGCCGGTCAGGTGACACATAAAAATGATCAGGTTTGGACACAGTCTGTAATATGCCGGTCTGGTGACATGTAAATAATCAAGGTTGGACACAGTCTGTAATATGCCGGTCAGGTGACATGTAAATAATCAGGGTTGGACACAGTCTGTAATATGCGGTTCTGGTGACATGTAAATAATCAGGGTTGGACACAGTCTGTAATATGCCGGTCAGGTGACACATAAAAATGATCAGGTTTGGACACAGTCTGTAATATGCCGGTCTGGTGACACGTAAATAATCAGGGTTGGACACAGTCTGTAATATGTCGGTCTGGTGACATGTAAATAATCAGGGTTGGACACAGTCTGCAATATGCCGGTCTGGTGACATGTAAATAATCAGGGTTGGACACAGTCTGTAATATGCGGTTCTGGTGACATGTAAATAATCAGGGTTGGACACAGTCTGTAATATGCCGGTCAGGTGACACATAAAAATGATCAGGTTTGGACACAGTCTGTAATATGCCGGTCTGGTGACAATTAAATAATCAGGGTTGGACACAGTCTGTAATATGCCGGTCTGGTGACATGTAAATAATCAGGGTTGGACACAGTCTGCAATATGCCGGTCTGGTGACATGTAAATAATCAGGGTTGGACACAGTCTGTAATATGCCGGTCTGGTGACATGTAAATAATCAGGGTTGGACACAGTCTGCAATATGCCGGTCTGGTGACATGTAAATAATCAGGGTTGGACACAGTCTGTAATATGCCGGTCTGGTGACATGTAAATAATCAGGGTTGGACACAGTCTGTAATATGCCGGTCAGGTGACATGTAAATAATCAGGGTTGAACAGTCTGTAATATGCCGGTCAGGTGACATGTAAATAATCAGGGTTGGACACAGTCTGTAATATGCCGGTCAGGTGACATGTAAATAATCAGGGTTGGACACAGTCTGCAATATGCCGGTCAGGTGACATGTAAATAATCAGGGTTGGACACAGTCTGTAATATGCCGGTCAGGTGACATGTAAATAATCAGGGTTGGACACAGTCTGTAATATGCGGTTCTGGTGACACGTAAATAATCAGGGTTGGACACAGTCTGTAATATGCCGGTCAGGTGACATGTAAATAATCAGGGTTGAACAGTCTGTAATATGCCGGTCAGGTGACATGTAAATAATCAGGGTTGAACAGTCTGTAATATGCCGGTCAGGTGACATGTAAATAATCAGGGTTGGACACAGTCTGTAATATGCCGGTCAGGTGACATGTAAATAATCAGGGTTGGACACAGTCTGTAATATGAGGTTCTGGTGACACGTAAATAATCAGGGTTGGACACAGTCTGTTATATGCCGGTCAGGTGACATGTAAATAATCAGGGTTGGACACAGTCTGCAATATGCCGGTCTGGTGACATGTAAATAATCAGGGTTGGACACAGTCTGTAATATGCCGGTCTGGTGACACGTAAATAATCAGGGTTGGACACAGTCTGTAATATGCCGGTCAGGTGACATGTAAGTAATCAGGGTTGAACAGTCTGTAATATGCCGGTCAGGTGACATGTAAATAATCAGGGTTGGACACAGTCTGTAATATGCCGGTCAGGTGACATGTAAATAATCAGGGTTGGACACAGTCTGCAATATGCCGGTCAGGTGACATGTAAATAATCAGGGTTGGACACAGTCTGTAATATGCCGGTCAGGTGACATGTAAATAATCAGGGTTGGACACAGTCTGTAATATGCGGTTCTGGTGACACGTAAATAATCAGGGTTGGACACAGTCTGTAATATGCCGGTCAGGTGACATGTAAATAATCAGGGTTGAACAGTCTGTAATATGCCTGTCAGGTGACATGTAAATAATCAGGGTTGAACAGTCTGTAATATGCCGGTCAGGTGACATGTAAATAATCAGGGTTGGACACAGTCTGTAATATGCCGGTCAGGTGACATGTAAATAATCAGGGTTGGACACAGTCTGCAATATGCCGGTCAGGTGACATGTAAATAATCAGGGTTGGACACAGTCTGTAATATGAGGTTCTGGTGACACGTAAATAATCAGGGTTGGACACAGTCTGTTATATGCCGGTCAGGTGACATGTAAATAATCAGGGTTGGACACAGTCTGTAATATGCCGGTCAGGTGACATGTAAATAATCAGGGTTGGACACAGTCTGTAATATGCTGGTCAGGTGACATGTAAATAATCAGGGTTGGACACAGTCTGTAATATGCGGGTCAGGTGACACGTAAATAATCAGGGTTGAACACAGTCTGTAATATGCCGGTCAGGTGACATTTAAATAATCAGGGTTGGACACAGTCTGTAATATGCCGGTCAGGTGACATTTAAATAATCAGGGTTGGACACAGTCTGTAATATGCCGGTCTGGTGACATGTATATAATCAGGGTTGGACACAGTCTGTAATATGCCGGTCAGGTGACACATAAAAATGATCAGGTTTGGACACAGTCTGTAATATGCCGGTCTGGTGACATGTAAATAATCAAGGTTGGACACAGTCTGTAATATGCCGGTCAGGTGACATGTAAATAATCAGGGTTGGACACAGTCTGTAATGTGCGGTTCTGGTGACATGTAAATAATCAGGGTTGGACACAGTCTGTAATATGCCGGTCAGGTGACACATAAAAATGATCAGGTTTGGACACAGTCTGTAATATGCCGGTCTGGTGACATGTAAATAATCAGGGTTGGACACAGTCTGTAATATGCCGGTCAGGTGACATTTAAATAATCAGGGTTGGACACAGTCTGTAATATGCCGGTCTGGTGACATGTAAATAATCAGGGTTGGACACAGTCTGTAATATGCGGTTCTGGTGACATGTAAATAATCCGGGTTGGACACAGTCTGTAATATGCCGGTCAGGTGACATGTAAATAATCAGGGTTGGACACAGTCTGTAATATGCCGGTCAGGTGACACGTAAATAATCAGGGTTGGACACAGTCTGTAATATGCCGGTCTGGTGACATGTAAATAATCAGGGTTGGACACAGTCTGTAATAGGCTGGTCAGGTGACACGTAAATAATCAGGGTTGGACACAGTCTGTAATATGCCGGTCAGATGACACGTAAATAATCAGGGTTGGACACAGTCTGTAATATGCCGGTCTGGTGACATGTAAATAATCAGGGTTGGACACAGTCTGTAATATGCCGGTCTGGTGACATGTAAATAATCAGGGTTGGACACAGTCTGTAATATGCCGGTCAGGTGACATGTAAATAATCAGGGTTGGACACAGTCTGTAATATGCGGTTCTGGTGACACGTAAATAATCAGGGTTGGACACAGTCTGTAATATGCCGGTCAGGTGACATGTAAATAATCAGGGTTGAACAGTCTGTAATATGCCGGTCAGGTGACATGTAAATAATCAGGGTTGGACACAGTCTGTAATATGCCGGTCAGGTGACATGTAAATAATCAGGGTTGAACAGTCTGTAATATGCCGGTCAGGTGACATGTAAATAATCAGGGTTGGACACAGTCTGTAATATGCCGGTCAGGTGACATGTAAATAATCAGGGTTGGACACAGTCTGCAATATGCCGGTCAGGTGACATGTAAATAATCAGGGTTGGACACAGTCTGTAATATGAGGTTCTGGTGACACGTAAATAATCAGGGTTGGACACAGTCTGTTATATGCCGGTCAGGTGACATGTAAATAATCAGGGTTGGACACAGTCTGTAATATGCCGGTCAGGTGACATGTAAATAATCAGGGTTGGACACAGTCTGTAATATGCTGGTCAGGTGACATGTAAATAATCAGGGTTGGACACAGTCTGTAATATGCGGGTCAGGTGACACGTAAATAATCAGGGTTGAACACAGTCTGTAATATGCCGGTCAGGTGACATTTAAATAATCAGGGTTGGACACAGTCTGTAATATGCCGGTCAGGTGACATTTAAATAATCAGGGTTGGACACAGTCTGTAATATGCCGGTCTGGTGACATGTATATAATCAGGGTTGGACACAGTCTGTAATATGCCGGTCAGGTGACACATAAAAATGATCAGGTTTGGACACAGTCTGTAATATGCCGGTCTGGTGACATGTAAATAATCAAGGTTGGACACAGTCTGTAATATGCCGGTCAGGTGACATGTAAATAATCAGGGTTGGACACAGTCTGTAATATGCGGTTCTGGTGACATGTAAATAATCCGGGTTGGACAGTCTGTAATATGCCGGTCAGGTGACATGTAAATAATCAGGGTTGGACACAGTCTGTAATATGCCGGTCAGGTGACACGTAAATAATCAGGGTTGGACACAGTCTGTAATATGCCGGTCTGGTGACATGTAAATAATCAGGGTTGGACACAGTCTGTAATATGCTGGTCAGGTGACACGTAAATAATCAGGGTTGGACACAGTCTGTAATATGCCGGTCAGATGACACGTAAATAATCAGGGTTGGACACAGTCTGTAATATGCCGGTCTGGTGACATGTAAATAATCAGGGTTGGACACAGTCTGTAATATGCCGGTCTGGTGACATGTAAATAATCAGGGTTGGACACAGTCTGTAATATGCCGGTCAGGTGACACGTAAATAATCAGGGTTGGACACAGTCTGTAATATGCCGGTCAGATGACACGTAAATAATCAGGGTTGGACACAGTCTGTAATATGCGGGTCTGGTGACATGTAAATAATCAGGGTTGGACACAGTCTGTAATATGCCGGTCAGGTGACATGTAAATAATCAGGGTTGGACACAGTCTGTAATATGCAGGTCAGGTGACATGTAAATAATCAGGGTTGGACTCTATTCGTGGATGGAGGTGGGCCCTTTGGGACACATATTCTAAGGGTTCGGGCAATTAGAAAGTCGAGAATAACATAGGAATATGTTTGTATACTGTGACAGATATCAAGTCAACAGTAGATCACAGTGTAAGGGTTGAGGACTCTCACCCATGGCGAAGCCGTCGTCCGTGAAGGCCGCCATGTCCTTGTTCTTCCTGTTCATCTTCTCCTTGCAGCTGATGGAGTGCTCCACAAAGTTCACAGTCTGACAACACAAGACGAGATCTAGACAGAAACTCAATTGAGAACTGATGGGGTTACAAAAATCAAAACAATAATCTTCATTCTAAGAGTACTACCTCCATTACATCATTGCCATAATCCTGGATTTTGGCTGTAGTCACACTAAAACTAAACTTTCAGATTTTCAACAGAAGTCGTCTTCACTGTCAGCTATACATAATTAGTTGTATCCCTAATAGCACTTTGGACGATAACTCTTCCATGTGCAAAGGCAGGATCCTCACCTTTTTCAAGGGTGTGCTAGATTTAACATCTCCATCGTAAGTTCTCCCACTCTACCACTTGGTTTTAATTTTGTAGTCACACTATTTCTTGTTGTTAAGTTGTTATTATTATTTATTCTCCTAGAACTCACCAGTGGGGGCAGAATCACGAAGAAGTTCCTCAGATGCATGTTCTTTGTGTTCCGGAACTCTGGAGCAAACACGTCCACCAGCATCTGTTGGAAACAGTCAGGATGTGAAGGCAAGGCTTGACTACAATGGTTTACACAAACATTATGAAGGGCAGAAAGAAAAAATCAACAGGAATTTTCACCAAATTCGAAGAAACAAAAATGGTGTAATTAGCAGTAAAGAATGTGTCACTTCTGATATAACGACAACTTACAGTAAACATCTATATGTGGTGGGAACATGCAGAATGCTGATACAAGTGACAAGTGACAAGTGACAAGATGATGATCATCAGGTTACCAAGATGAGTTTATTGGATTCATCAACCCATCTGTTTAGAAATAACTGAGTTCCTAAAAATCATACATGCTCCAGTGCAAATATCACTTTTCATGCACCAGTGCATTGTTTACATCATTTCGACATCATTGTTGACACCGTCCAACCTTATTATGATGTCATAGCGGAAGATTCTTGTGTTGACGTCATTCGAATATTGTGGTTCTCTTAGTTGGCTGTCATGATCAGTGCCTATCTAAGGGGTCCTCAAAAGGCTTAAGAATTAATGGGTAATAAAGACATTATTATATTCACACATGTGTCATTGTGATTTTTATGAAAAACTCTGGTAAAAATTCATGTATTACCCTCGCTCTCGCTCTGGAAAAACAAGAATTCTCACACTTGTTTTATAACGTCTCACACTTGTTTTATGACGTCTCACACTTGTTTTATGACGTCTCACACTTGTTTTATAACGTCTCACACTTGTTTTATGACGTCTCACACTTGTTTTATGACGTCTCACACTTGTTTTAAGACGTCTCACACTTGTTTTATAACGTCTCACACGTGTTTTATAACGTCTCACGCGTGTTTTATAACGTCTCACACGTGTTTTATAACGTCTCACACGTGTTTTATAACGTCAGTGTGACACAGATGCTCGTATAATAATCTCAACACAGGAATGCTAACAAGTAAGTGTGAGACACTGACCTTGAAGTACTCAGTTCCTTCAGCAAAGTTCTTGGCAAGGTTCCCAATCACATTGTCCAAGTTCCTGAAAGTGTTGAATGCAAGAATAATATGAAATATACGACGCATCGGACATTTTTCCATGGTCTGGAGAGTGAGAGAATGTTGTCCATGACACTATTCCAGGTGTATCTGGTTGTAAATAGTCTAGTCTGGACCTGGCAGGGTTGCGGTTGCTTGTAGTTTGAAGTCCCTATCCTCAATTGGCGTGCAATAACTTCCCCGTTATTCTTCGTGTTTCCCACTAACATGATGTTGGCATGCTCTTCCTCATCTCTATACACCATCATACACCTGCCTTGCATGTACATAGTGTCTACACCCTATATACACCATCATACACCTGCCTTGCATGTACATACAGTGTCAATACCCTGTATACACCAGCATACACCTGCCTTGCATGTACATACAGTGTCTATACCCTGTATACACCATCATACACTTGCCTTGCATGTACATACAGTATCTATACCCTGTATACACCATCATACACCTGCCTTGCATGTACATACAGTGTCTATACCCTGTATACACCAGCATACACCTGCCTTACATGTACATACAGTGTCTATACCCTGTATACACAAGCATACACCTGCCTTGCATGTACATACAGTATCTATACCCTGTATACACCATCATACACCTGCCTTGCATGTACATACAGTGTCTATACCCTGTATACACCATCATACACCTGCCTTGCATGTACATACAGTGTCTATACCCTATATACACCATCATACACCTGCCTTGCATGTACATACAGTGTCTATACATACACCATCATACACCTGCCTTGCATGTACATAGTGTCTATACCCTGTATAAACCATCATACACCTGCCTTGCATGTACATACAGTGTCTATACCCTGTATACACCATCATACACCTGCCTTGCATGTACATACAGTGTCTATACCCTATATACACCATCATACACCTGCCCTGCATGTACATACAGTGTCTATACGCTATATACACCATCATACACTTGCCTTGCATGTACATACAGTGTCTATACCCTGTATACACCATCATACACCTGCCTTGCATGTACATACAGTGTCTATACCCTATATACACCATCATACACCTGCCCTGCATGTACATACAGTGTCTATACCCTGTATACACCATCATACACTTGCCTTGCTTGTACATACAGTGTCTATACCCTATATACACCATCATACACTTGCCTTGCATGTACATACAGTGTCTATACCCTATATACACCATCATACACCTGCCTTGTATGTACATACAGTGTCTATACCCTATATACACCATCATACACCTGCCTTGCATGTACATACAGTGTCTATACCCTATATACACCATCATACACCTGCCTTGCATGTACATACAGTCTCTATCCCTCATCACACAGATAGGTCAGTGGACATTCAGTTTCTATCCCCCATCACACAGATAGGTCAATCGGCATTCAGTCTCCTCTATCCCTCATCACACAGATAGGTCAGTGGGCATTCAGTCTCTATCCCTCATCACACAGATAGGTCAGTGGGCATTCAGTCTCCTCTATCCCTCATCACACAGATAGGTCAGTGGGCATTCAGTCTCCTCTATCCCTCATCACACAGATAGGTCAGTTGGCATTCAGTCTCCTCTATCCCTCATCACACAGATAGGTCAGTGGGCATTCAGTCTCTATCCCTCATCACACTGATAGGTCAGTGGGCATTCAGACTCCTCTATCCCCCATCACACAGATAGGTCAGTGGGCATTCAGTCTCCTCTGTTCCTCATCACACAGATAGGTCAGTTGGCATTCAGTCTCCTCTATCCCTCATCACACAGATAGGTCAGTTGGCATTCAGTCTCCTCTATCCCTCATCACACAGATAGGTCAGTGGGCATTCAGTCTCCTCTATCCCCCATCACACAGATAGGTCAGTGGGCATTCAGTCTCCTCTGTTCCTCATCACACAGATAGGTCAGTTGGCATTCAGTCTCCTCTATCCCTCATCACACAGATAGGTCAGTGGGCATTCAGTCTCCCTTATCCCCCATCACACAGATAGGTCAGTGGGCATTCAGTCTCCTCTATCCCTCATCACACAGATAGGTCAATGGGCATTCAGTCTCTATCCCTCATCACACAGATAGGTCAGTGGGCATTCAGTCTCCTCTATCCCTCATATATACACCATCATACACCTGCCTTGCATGTACATACAGTGTCTATACCCTATATACACCATCATACACCTGCCTTGCATGTACATACAGTGTCTATACCCTGTATACACCATCATACATCTGCCTTGCATGTACATACAGTGTCTATACCCTGTATACACCATCATACACTTCCCTTGCATGTACATACAGTGTCTATACCCTATATACACTATCATACACTTGCCTTGCATGTACATACAGTGTCTATACCCTGTATACACCATCATACACCTGCCTTGCATGTACATACAGTGTCTATACCCTGTATACACCATCATACACCTGCCTTGCATGTACATAGTGTCTATACCCTGTATACACCATCATACACCTGCCTTGCATGTACATAGTGTCTATACCCTGTATACACCATCATACACCTGCCTTGCATGTACATACAGTGTCTATACCATATATACACCATCATACACTTGCCTTGCATGTACATACAGTGTCTATACCCTATATACACCATCATACACTTGCCTTGCTTGTACATACAGTGTCTATACCCTGTATACACCATGATACACCTGCCTTGCATGTAGATAGTGTCTATACCCTGTATACACCATCATACACCTGCCTTGCATGTACATTCAGTGTCTATACCCTGTATACACCATCATACACTTGCCTTGCATGTACATACAGTGTCTATACCCTGTATACACCAGCATACACCTGCCTTGCATGTACACAGTGTCTATACCCTGTATACACCATCATACACCTGCCTTGCATGTACATACATTGTCTATACCCTGTATACACCAGCATACACTTGCCTTGCATGTACATAGTGTCTATACCCTGTATACACCATCATACACCTGCCTTGCATGTACATACAGTGTCTATACCCTGTATACACCATCATATACCTGCCTTGCATGTATATAGTGTCTATACCCTGTATACACCATTATACACCTGCTTTGCATGTACATACAGTGTCTATACCCTATATACACCATCATACACCTGCCTTGCATTTACATACAGTGTCTATACCCTATATACACCATCATACATCTGCCTTGCTTGTACATACAGTGTCTATACCCTGTATACACTATCATACACCTGCCTTGCATGTACATACAGTGTCTATACCCTGTATGCACCATCATACACCTGCCTTGCATGTACATAGTGTCTATACCCTATATACACCATCATACACTTGCCTTGCATGTACATACAGTGTCTATACCCTATATACACCATCATACACCTGCCTTGCATGTACATAGTGTCTATACCCTGTATACACCATCATACACCTGCCTTGCATGTACATACAGTGTCTATACCCTATATACACCATCATACACCTGCCTTGCATGTACATACAGTCTCTATCCCCCATCACACAGATAGGTCAGTTGGCATTCAGTCTCCTCTATCCCTCATCACACAGATAGGTCAGTGGGCATTCAGTCTCTATCCCTCATCACACAGATAGGTCAGTGGGCGTTCAGTCTCCTCTATCCCTCATCACACAGATAGGTCAGTTGGCATTCAGTCTCCTCTATCCCTCATCACACAGATAGGTCAGTGGGCATTCAGTCTCTATCCCTCATCACACAGATAGGTCAGTGGGCGTTCAGTCTCCTCTATCCCTCATCACACAGATAGGTCAGTTGGCATTCAGTCTCCTCTATCCCTCATCACACAGATAGGTCAGTGGGCATTCAGTCTCTATCCCTCATCACACTGATAGGTCAGTGGGCATTCAGTCTCCTCTATCCCCCATCACACAGATAGGTCAGTGGGCATTAAGTCTCCTCTATCCCTCATCACACAGATAGGTCAGTTGGCATTCAGTCTCCTCTATCCCTCATCACACAGATAGGTCAGTTGGCATTCAGTCTCCTCTATCCCTCATCACACAGATAGGTCAGTGGGCATTCAGTCTCTATCCCTCATCACACAGATAGGTCAGTGGGCATTCAGTCTCCTCTATCCCCAATCACACAGATAGGTCAGTGGGCATTCAGTCTCCTCTGTTCCTCATCACACAGATAGGTCAGTTGGCATTCAGTCTCCTCTATCCCTCATCACACAGATAGGTCAGTGGGCATTCAGTCTCCCTTATCCCCCATCACACAGATAGGTCAGTGGGCATTCAGTCTCCTCTATCCCTCATCACACAGATAGGTCAGTGGGCATTCAGTCTCTATCCCTCATCACACAGATAGGTCAGTGGGCATTCAGTCTCCTCTATCCCTCATATATACACCATCATACACCTGCCTTGCATGTACATACAGTGTCTATACCCTATATACACCATCATACACTTGCCTTGCATGTACATACAGTGTCTATACCCTGTATACACCATCATACACCTGCCTTGCATGTACATACAGTGTCTATACCCTGTATACACCATCATACACTTCCCTTGCATGTACATACAGTGTCTATACCCTATATACACCATCATACACTTGCCTTTCATGTACATACAGTGTCTATACCCTATATACACCATCATACACCTGCCTTGCATGTACATACAGTGTCTATACCCTGTATACACCATCATACACCTGCCTTGCATGTACATAGTGTCTATACCCTGTATACACCATCATACACCTGCCTTGCATGTACATAGTGTCTATACCCTGTATACACCATCATACACCTGCCTTGCATGTACATAGTGTCTATACCCTGTATACACCATCATACACCTGCCTTGCATGTACATACAGTGTCTATACCCTATATACACCATCATACACCTGCCTTGCATGTAGATAGTGTCTATACTCTGTATACACCATCATACACCTGCCTTGCATGTACATACAGTGTCTATACCCTATATACACCATCATACACCTGCCTTGCATGTACATACAGTGTCTATACCATATATACACCATCATACACTTGCCTTGCATGTACATACAGTGTCTATACCATATATACACCATCATACACTTGCCTTGCATGTACATACAGTGTCTATACCCTGTATATACCATCATACACCTGCCTTGCATGTACATACAGTGTCTATACCCTATATACACCATCATACACCTGCCTTGCATGTACATACAGTGTCTATACCCTATATAAACCATCATACACTTGCCTTGCATGTACATACAGTGCCTATACCCAGTATACACCATCATACACCTGCCTTGCATGTACATACAGTGTCTATACCCTGTATACACCATCATACACTTCCCTTGTTTGTACATACAGAGTCTATACCCTATATAAACCATCATACAGTTGCCTTGCATGTACATACAGTGTCTATACCCTATATAAACCATCATACACTTGCCTTGCTTGTACATACAGTGTCTATACCCTATATAAACCATCATACAGTTGCCTTGCATGTACATACAGTGTCTATACCCTGTATACACCATCATACACCTGCTTTGCATGTACATACAGTGTCTATACCCTGTATACACCATCATACATCTGCCTTGCATGTACATACAGTGTCTATACCCTGTATACACCATCATACACCTGCTTTGCATGTACATACAGTGTCTATACCCTATATAAACCATCATACACTTGCCTTGCTTGTACATACAGTGTCTATACCCTGTATACACCATCATACACCTGCCTTGCATGTACATACAGTGTCTATACCCTATATACACCATCATACATCTGCCTTGCATGTACATACAGTGTCTATACCCTGTATACACCATCATACACCTGCTTTGCATGTACATAGTGTCTATACCCTGTATACACCATCATACACCTGCCTTGCATGTACACTATATACACAAACTCTCCATCAGACTGACATGTACACGCAACATACACCATGAAACATACACCATCAAACATAAACCATGAAACATATAACATCAAATGTAACTCACTTGGCTGCTGCCTGGCACTCAGCAGACAGGCCTTCCTCCTTACACAGCTCCTCGAAGTTGACGATGTCCTCGATGTCAGGGATGAACCTGATGGCGTTGCTGCAGCAATGCAGGCCCCCAGAACGGATCATCCTGATGTAGCCCATAGCATTGCCTGAAAAAACACACACTGTCAGTGCTAGGAATAGTGTACCGAGAGGACTGAATGCCCACTGACCTATCTGTGTGATGGGGGATAGAGGAGACTGAATGCCCACTGACCTATCTGTGTGATGAGGGATAGAGACTGAATGCCCATTGACCTATCTGTGTGATGGGGGATAGAGGAGACTTAATGCATATTGACCTATCTGTGTGATGAGGGATAGAGACTGAATGCCCACTGACCTATATATGTGATGAGGGATAGAGGAGACTGAATGCCCACTGACCTATCTGTGTGATGAGGAACAGAGGAGACTGAATGCCCACTGACCTATCTGTGTGATGAGGGATAGAGCAGACTGAATGCCCACTGACCTATCTGTGTGATGAGGGATAGAGGAGACTTAATGCCCACTGACCTTTCTGTGTGATGGGGGATAGAAACTGAATGCCCACTGACCTATCTGTGTGATGAGGGATAGAGACTGAATGCCCACTGACCTATCTGTGTGATGAGGGATAGATGAGACTGAATGCCAACTGACCTATCTGTGTGATGAGGGATAGAGGAGACTGAATGCCCACTGACCTATCTGTATAATGAGGGATAGAGGAGACTGAATGCCCACTGACCTATCTGTGTGATGAGGGATAGAGACTGAATGCCCACTGACCTATCTGTGTGATGAGGGATAGAGACTGAATGCCCATTGACCTATCTGTGTGATGAGGGATAGATGAGACTGAATGCCCACTGACCTATCTGTGTGATGAGGGATAGAGACTGAATGCCCACTGACCTATCTGTGTGATCAGGGATAGAGACTGAATGCCCACTGACCTATCTGTCTGATGGGGGATAGAGGAGACTGAATGCCCACTGACCTATCTGTGTGATGAGGAACAGAGACTGAATGCCCACTGACCTATCTGTGTGATGGGGGATAGAGACTGAATGCCCACTGACCTATCTCTGTGATGAGGGATAGAGACTAAATGCCCACTGACCTATCTGTGTGATGAGGAACAGAGACTGAATGCCCACTGACCTATCTGTGTGATGGGGGATAGAGACTGAATGCCCACTGACCTATCTGTGTGATGGGGGATAGAGGAGACTGAACGCCCACTGACCTATCTGTGTGATAAGGAACAGAGGAGACTGAATGCCCACTGACCTATCTGTGTGATGGGGGATAGAGACTGAATGCCCACTGACCTATCTGTGTGATGGGGAATAGAGACTGAATGCCAACTGACCTATCTGTGTGATGGGGGATAGAGACTGAATGCCCACTGACCTATCTGTGTGATGGGGGATAGAGGAGACTGAACGCCCACTGAACTATCTGTGTGATGAGGAACAGAGGAAACTGAATGCCCACTGACCTATCTGTGTGATGAGGGATAGAGGAGACTGAATGCCCACTGACCTATCTGTGTGATGAGGAACAGAGGAGACTGAATGCCCACTGACCTATCTGTGTGATGAGGGATAGAGACTGAATGCCCACTGACCTATCTGTGTGATGAGGAACAGAGGAGACTGAATGCCCACTGACCTATCTGTGTGATGAGGAACAGAGGAGACTGAATGCCCACTGACCTATCTGTGTGATGAGGAACAGAGACTGAATGCCCACTGACCTATCTGTGTGATGAGGAACAGAGGAGACTGAATGCCCACTGACCTATCTGTGTGATGAGGGATAGAGACTAAATGCCCACTGACCTATCTGTGTGATGAGGAACAGAGACTGAATGCCAACTGACCTATCTGTGTGATGGGGGATAGAGACTGAATGCCCACTGACCTATCTGTGTGATGAGGGATAGAGGAGACTGAATGCCCACTGACCTATCTGTGTGATGGGGGATAGAGGAGACTGAACGCTAACTGACCTATCTGTGTGATGAGGAACAGAGGAGACTGAATGCCCACTGACCTATCTGTGTGAAGAGGGATAGAGGAGACTGAATGCTCACTGACCTATCTGTGTGATGAGGAACAGAGGAGACTGAATGCCCACTGACCTATCTGTGTGATGGGGGATAGAGGAAACTAAATGCCCACTGACCTATCTGTGTGATGAGGGATAGAGGAGACTGAATGCTCACTGACCTATCTGTGTGATGAAGGATAGAGACTGAATACCCACTGACCTATCTGTGTGATGAGGGATAGAGGAGACTGAATGCCCACTGACCTATCTGTGTGATGAGGGATAGAGGACACTGAATGCCAACTGACCTATCTGTGTGATGGGGGATAGAGACTGAATGCCCACTGACCTATCTGTGTGATGAGGGATAGAGACTGAATGCCCACTGACCTATCTGTGTGATGAGGAACAGAGACTGAATGCCCACTGACCTATCTGTGTGATGAGGGATAGAGACTGAATGCCCACTGACCTATCTGTGTGATGAGGGATAGAGACTGAATGCCCACTGACCTATCTGTGTGATGAGGGATAGATGAGACTGAATGCCCACTGACCTATCTGTGTGATGAGGGATAGAGACTGAATGCCCACTGACCTATCTGTGTGATCAGGGATAGAGACTGAATGCCCACTGACCTATCTGTCTGATGGGGGATAGAGGAGACTGAATGCCCACTGACCTATCTGTGTGATGAGGAACAGAGACTGAATGCCCACTGACCTATCTGTGTGATGGGGGATAGAGACTGAATGCCCACTGACCTATCTCTGTGATGAGGGATAGAGACTAAATGCCAACTGACCTATCTGTGTGATGAGGAACAGAGACTGAATGCCCACTGACCTATCTGTGTGATGGGGGATAGAGACTGAATGCCCACTGACCTATCTGTGTGATGGGGGATAGAGGAGACTGAACGCCCACTGACCTATCTGTGTGATGAGGAACAGAGGAGACTGAATGCCCACTGACCTATCTGTGTGATGGGGGATAGAGACTGAATGCCCACTGACCTATCTGTGTGATGGGGGATAGAGACTGAATGCCAACTGACCTATCTGTGTGATGGGGGATAGAGACTGAATGCCCACTGAACTATCTGTGTGATGGGGGATAGAGGAGACTGAACGCCCACTGACCTATCTGTGTGATGAGGAACAGAGGAGACTGAATGCCCACTGACCTATATGTGTGATGAGGGATAGAGGAGACTGAATGCTCACTGACCTATCTGTGTGATGAGGAACAGAGGAGACTGAATGCCCACTGACCTATCTGTGTGATGAGGGATAGAGACTGAATGCCCACTGACCTATCTGTGTGATGAGGAACAGAGACTGAATGCCCACTGACCTATCTGTGTGATGAGGAACAGAGGAGACTGAATGCCCACTGACCTATCTGTGTGATGAGGGATAGAGACTAAATGCCCACTGACCTATCTGTGTGATGGGGAATAGAGACTGAATGCCCACTGACCTATCTGTGTGATGAGGGATAGAGGAGACTGAACGCCAACTGACCTATCTGTGTGATGAGGAACAGAGGAGACTGAATGCCCACTGACCTATCTGTGTGAAGAGGGATAGAGGAGACTGAATGCTCACTGACCTATCTGTGTGATGAGGAACAGAGGAGACTGAATGCCCACTGACCTATCTGTGTGATGGGGGATAGAGGAAACTAAATGCCCACTGACCTATCTGTGTGATGAGGGATAGAGGAGACTGAATGCTCACTGACCTATCTGTGTGATGAGGGATAGAGACTGAATGCCCACTGACCTATCTGTGTGATGAGGAACAGAGACTGAATGCCCACTGACCTATCTGTGTGATGAGGGATAGAGACTGAATACCCACTGACCTATCTGTGTGATGAGGAACAGAGACTGAATGCCCACTGACCTATCTGTGTGATGGGGGATAGAGGAGACTGAATGCCCACTGACCTATCTGTGTGATGAGGGATAGAGACTGAATGCCCACTGACCTATCTGTGTGATGAGGAACAGAGGAGATTGAATGCCCACTGACCTATCTGTGTGATGGGGGATAGAGACTGAATGCCCACTGACCTATCTGTGTGATGAGGGATAGAGACTGAATGCCCACTGACCTATCTCTGTGTGATGGGGGATAGAGGAGACTGAATGCCCACTGACCTATCTGTGTGATGAGGGATAGAGGAGACTGAATGCCCACTGACCTATCTGTGTGATGAGGAACAGAGGAGACTGAATGCCCACTGACCTATCTGTGTGATGAGGGATAGAGACTGAATGCCCACTGACCTATCTGTGTGATGGGGGATAGAGACTGAATGCCCACTGACCTATCTGTGTGATGAGGAACAGAGGAGACTGAATGCCCACTGACCTATCTGTGTGATGAGGGAAAGAGACTGAATGCCCACTGACCTATCTGTGTGATGAGGAACAGAGGAGACTGAATGCCCACTGACCTATCTGTGTGATGAGGGAAAGAGACTGAATGCCCACTGACCTATCTGTGTGATGGGGGATAGAGACTGAATGCCCACTGACCTATCTGTGTGATGAGGGATAGAGACTGAATGCCCACTGACCTATCTCTGTGTGATGGGGGATAGAGGAGACTGAATGCCCACTGACCTATCTGTGTGATGAGGGATAGAGGAGACTGAATGCCCACTGACCTATCTGTGTGATGAGGAACAGAGGAGACTGAATGCCCACTGACCTATCTGTGTGATGAGGGATAGAGACTGAATGCCCACTGACCTATCTGTGTGATGAGGGATAGAGGAGACTGAATGCCCACTGACCTATCTGTGTGATGAGGAACAGAGGAGACTGAATGCCAACTTACCTATCTGTGTGATGGGGGATAGAGCAGACTGAATGCCCACTGACCTATCTGTGTGATAGGGGAGAGAGACTGAATGCCCAGTGACCTATCTGTGTGATGGGGGATAGAGGAGACTGAATGCCCACTGACCTATCTGTGTGATGGGGGATAGAGACTGAATGCCCACTGACCTATCTGTGTGATGGGGGATAGAGGAGACTGAATGCCCACTGAC